AGCAAAAGAAATTTACACATTACATTGAGAAAGTTAAATGAACTAAATAAGATACTTCATACTTCCTATTTTACAAATTAATTAACTTAAGCATTTTAAATTCAATTACATATATCATAATTCCCGGAAATTTGGAATGTAAGTTTATTAGAATGTGTATATAGGGGGGAGGAAGGAGTTTTAGTCTTTTAATTTTCTTTTTGAAAATACTGATTAACTTCCTTTTACCCATAATGTTAACTTTTCTGCTTCTACAGAAATATTTTATGTGTTTCGTAATTGATGGGTTCAACAACCAAACGATTGACTGAACACGCTACACACAAGCATTTTCTTTCAATTACGCTCACATGTCTTCAGTTACATGTCGACCTATTCTGCGATCATTATTGACCAGGGCTCACCTTTGGATGATGACACAGGAAGATACGCTATTACCATAGTCTTCACATATGCGTTTATTAATTCTTTTTCCTACTATGCCTTCTTTTGCTATATCGGCACTGATAATTTCAATGTTAAGTCGCATAACTGGTTGTCAATATTTAGCAACGTCTCAACAAGCAAAGAAGAGTAAATGTTGAATATATTCCTTCCTTTATTTCATTTTAAATGAATGATGGAAATATTTTGTAGTCATTTAACATAAGTATTACAGCATAAGCATACCTAGAACTTACTGAATGCTCGCTGTGCATTTGTAAGAAAAATTATTTATAAATCATAATGAAATGGATTAATAGCTAATTACTTAAATTCACTTGAATGCTATATTTAGTAATAATGCCTAATAGTTTCAGTTTTAGGATGCATGGTGTTTCTTGTGTCAATTAGACATTATTAATTACTTCAAAAATCACAAAAAATGAGTGTCAAAATATTCTTTATTTTTCTTGAGCTAGCAAATCAGTATATAGTATTTCAAAAGCGAGCTTTCTAAAACACCAATGAACCCTTAGGCAAATATTTCTTCAACACCAGTAAGTCTTGTGGAAGGATTTGTGTTCATTTTAGATAGTATGCGAGCGTCGATGAAGCCAACTATCAGTTTCGACGGTAGAAGATCAGTCTTAAATTTCACAGAAAGTTCAAGTGGCTATTTTTTATTGTACCTGGTTCAAAAGTTTTTATTATACACGGTACAAATTTCAACATTTGCTATAGCAACCGATGATGAAGCGTTGAATTTCTGCAAGGACATTGAAAAGTAAATATCTACTAGGTGAACCGGATAGTGACAATTATAAAATCGAGGTATCTAAAGCTGCACTATTAAGACCATTTCCTGAGGTCACAAACAGGGCGAAGTTGGAATCTTAATTGCACGGGAAATATCTAATGAATGAGAATAAACTTTATCTAAGAAAATCAAAATTACAAAGGTGTAGAGATATTACGTATTTTTTTGGAAGCAGGCAAGAGGAAAAATAAGCAACCGCCTTCACCGGGAATCGAACCACGGTCCTCTGGAATACCGGCCCAGCGTGCAGAGCCACTACACACGAAGGGACGTAGGAAGACGGGAGAAATACCTTATATGCTCCCCCTTTTAAAGGGCAACTGGGGTTTTTAGGGGACCCATTTTGCTAAATCCTGTGTGAGGAGAATTATCATCCAACACCCTTTTAGTTAGGGCGCCACTGTGGAGACATTAGGTATTTTTTTGGAAGCAGGCAAGATGAAAAATTTAAAACGTAATTATTGTTACAATTTTCCAATTGGAAAATTGTTACAGCTGATGTGGTAAAATATACTTACAGGTTTTAAATACTTCGTACCTTCCGCGATACTTTCTTATAAAATACTCATCTATCACAGTTTCGTTATGCTCATGAAATTTTGGATTCTTCTTAAATCTGCGCCCAGCGAATAAAATCACTTTTACACTACCTCAAAATCATCTCATAATTCCCCTGCATTTCCGTTCCACAGCAAGTAAGCCGTACATCTGTTGTTCTCAAAATTTTACAGATTCCCGAAATTTTCTGAAGTCATGATTTATTAGAAATTCCCAAAATTTCCAGTTGCCATGAATTTCTTATTCGGACGTCGAATGAATTTCTAAATTATTTTTAACTTGTGTCAGATTCATTAAATGTAAGTAAATGTTTCTGATGCATTATGTAAGACCCCAGTTTAGTTTTTACCGCAACTAATGATGCAGAAATTTGGCAGACCCTTTCTGTAACAATCTTTAAATACATATCTGACACAATATTTCTTCAAGCATAAAAACATTTGCTGTTACGTTTTAAACTTTCTCCCCACGTTCTTTGTAAAAATTTTCAGACTTGTGCTGAGATTTGTTGCAATTCATTCTGGTTAATTCGCAGCAGATGGTGTAGATTACTAGGGGTGTGGTTTACTAGTATTTCTTTTAATTCCGTGAGGAACCGTAACTCACGGTATATTTTTAAATGAGTTTTCCGCCGCCCATAAGTTATTCTTATTTTTTATAATTACCATTTAAAGTAAACAATCACGCTATCTGGAAAATGCAAATATGAAGACGTACAGGAGATTTAAAGCGGAGCCGGAAGAAGAATTTTCTTTTGTGGAGAAAAATTGGAAACCAGTGTGTCTTTTAGGTCAAGTAACACTGTCAAAATTTAAAGCCAATCATCTTAAACGGCATTATGAATCAAGTCACTATACTTTCAGCCAACAATTTTCTGCTAGTTTCAAGTTAAGATGAATTAAAATATTGTCTTTAAAAGCAAAATTAAATAACCAAACTAAGGCTATGTCAAAGTTTAAGAAAGAGACTCATATAACAATGGAAACTGCATTTATTATGGTCTTAAATATTGCTTGGGTAAACGGCCTTACCTTAACACTTCAAGCCGGTCCGACGTACACTTGTACGTACCCTCATAATGCTTTTAGATGCGTTTCGACGTATACGTATAATTCCGTGTAATAGTGACGAAATGATGCATATTTTGTGAACTATTATTTTTACACATAACAGAAAACTCAAGAGTAGATTTCACTGTTCTGCCATCTGTTGGTTTTTCTTCCAGTTACATGAAATTATGTGTGATTGCAATACTTTATTACGTACAAAGAAAATCTGAGAATTGGCATCGAAACGGGCGAAATTCATGCGTTTTTAGAGGAAAATGACACTGAAGGCTGAATGTATTTATTTCAAACTACAATTGAACGTGAAGTAAACTACGTACAATAGGAAGTAGATACTGTTAGTGGAAAGAGAATTAGATAGCATTACATCCTCACCTCTTGCATCGTCGAATTAAACCTGGAACTAGAAAGAAGAAGATGGCTATTTCAAAGCAAATAATCTTGTATTTTATGTAGTGTGCAGTCCCAAATAGCACTCAATAATGTTCTTGACGCCCTTTTTTGTTTTTTGAGAAAGCAATTGTAGAAATTATCGTTAGTGAAACTAACTTCAATGCCTACACTTATATTAGTAAACGTTGCATACTGATATCACATTCACGAATGCGCAAATGGCAACCAGTTGACGTGTAAGAAATATATCTTATTCTGGAAATATTTGTGCTTACGAGTATAATTCAAGAACCAACTATTAAGAGTTATTTTAGCATTTATTGAGACGCCAGTATTTCCTAAAACGATATCAATGGACAGGTTTGAACTTATAATGCAAAATCTTACATTTTGTTGATAACAAGAAACAATATTCATTTCCAGAGCCTAAAAAACTTATCAAACTCCATGGCTTTGCTGAAATGCTGAGAGAACATTTCAAAAGTGCATTTTTGCCTCCGGAAAATATAGCAATAGATGATTCACTTACTTTGTGGAGGAATAGGTTAGGTTTCACGCAATATGTTCCAAACAAGGCAGCGAAATTTGGTATCAAAACTTTTGAACGTAGTGAATCATCGTCAGGCTACTTATGGGATTTCATCATATAACAAGGGTAAGGGTTACAGGTAAGGGTTATCAGTAATGATGTCACAGATGATTTGAAAAGTACGGAAATAGTTATGAAACTGATGGAACCTCTTGTTAGGAAAACCTACACACTGCGGATGGATTATTGTTACAATTTTCCAACATTAAGATTTATTTCTCCGTGAATATTGCACGTACTTTAAGAATGAATAGCAAACGGGTAGCAACGGAAAAGAAGGGAGTTAATTGCAGCCGAATATAGTGGTGTGCTGTGAATATAGTGGTTAGTTGTCTTTCCAGTTGTACGTACCCTCATAATGCTTTTAGATGCATTTCGACGTATACGTATAATTCCGTGTAATAGTGACGAAATGGTGCTAAGTGGAAAGACAACAAAGACGTTATCTTTATTTTTACGTTTCATGATTCTTCGCTTGTTACAAAAAAAAGAAGGGTGTAGCTACAGCTAAACCAAAGTGTATAGTGGAATATAATCTTGTTATAGGTGGGGTAGATGTGAAGGATCAAAATGCCTTATCTCTTTGAAAGAAAATGGCATACAAAATGGTGTACAAAGAATTTTAAGAGATTCCTGAATGTGTCAGTTCATAATGGATGTATTGTCTATAATAACAAGGCCAAATAAAATACGTGGGATATAGAGGTTGGATCTTATAGAAGCTCTTGTTCTTTCCCATGAATCTCTAATTCCAAAGCCCATAAGAAGTAATTGGTCGCTTTATAATATTTACTATAAATGTATTTTAATTTGGTGTAAGCAGCACGGTCTTTGTTGAAATTCAGGATGAGTCGCTAGTAGGCTGCTTTGAGGGAATAGGTAATACTTTTTCAATAATGTAAAAATATTTAATAAATATTTAAAATATATGAATTTTAAGGCTAGTGACACGACAGAATCAGTCACAAATCTCTTAATAAAGTCCAAGGCACAAACAGGACATATTGCGCCACTGAAGATCATGAATGAATTACAATTTAAGATGCTGTGAAAGTAATAGATTATTACATACCCTATGTGTTTAAATAAGAGGGTATTTCAAAAGTTTATTGTATTAAACATTCGTTATTAAAGAACATTATTGAAAGCAATATTAAGTTCTAAAAGTTGCTTTATCAGCAAAAGAATTTATTCCAAACATATGACAAAACGAGTTAGAAAGGAAAGATGCGAGCTTTTGAACTGAAGTTATAGTTCCACAGCTTCGGCGAATTAAAACATAAACAGCTCTAGGATATCTTTTGCAACACATAATTAAATACGTAGTGACAGGTGTAAAATCGACATCGACATCTGCAAAGGTTTCAAGCAAAGTGGTAATAGATAAATAGAGAATACATTTCATTTAATATTCATTTTATTAGGTGCTTATGTTTTACTCAATATGCAATATTTTTAAAAATAAAAATATAAAAATATTTCATAAATTCTGAGAAAAAAACAAATTTTATGAAAATATGTAAATCATGGTGATAAAAATTATACAAAAAACAATGAAATTTATGAAAGTCCACTTTTTCTTCTCTTAAATTCTAAAATACAAAACTGTATGGCAAGTTTCTGCCAGACAAACTAATCGTAATTATACTTAAGGTAAATAATAGATCTGCAGTTCCATGTATCCAACTGTAGCTCCGAAATATCTACAATAAGTAATAATTAAAGAGAATTTTGTGTCAGTTGATTATATATCAGGCTCTGTGTTAAGATAATCAGCTCTGCAAGTTAGATATTTGAGGTAAAATTCCTGTCTCTCGTAACTTAAAATAATTAAAACATTTCTTGACGTCCAGTAGGGCTTTTCATAAAATTATGCGACACTTTCACGTTTAAAAATGTGCTTACGTCGTTAAAAAGTCGTATGGTCTTATCATGATTTTGGTTGATTTTAAACCCTCTGTTCTCGAATCCCAAAAAATCCCAGTATGATTTGTGCAATCTCCTAAGTAAAGACCATTAAGATTGACAGTTCCGCATACATTGTACCACCAAGCTCCTTTCATGTATTCTGCGCAAATATACAGTAGTGTAGAGTTATCATTATTTCGGTCTTTAGTGCTAAACTTGTTATTATTGTTATCGGCCATTTCATCTCCTAGAAAGAGAACATGAAATAACTTAGTGTGAAGCTGGAAAAAACTTATCTCTATATTAACTAATTAGTGCAACTTAAAATGAAAATCTTTTATCTAATAAAGTATAAGCAGAAATTTTAAGCAGCAATAATTTCATAATAAATGAAGACTCTGTTAACATGATTAATATTTTCTTACAGCGATTTGGTGGCGAATTTTCTGACTTTAATTTTGCTTAGGAACAATTTGTAATTTAAACTACAGAACAAAAATAATTTATTCATTTACTCGTATTAGTTAGAAATTAATTGTGCATTCTTAAAGGTAAGTAAATTATATTTAAATATAATTACAATTTGAAACAAACTTAGTTTAATATGTAAAAACGAAGATACAGTTTAAAGCTTCTTAAAGAAATTCCAGAGATTTTAAAGCATCTAATATCCCCATAATCAGCGTAATATTATCATAAATATAGTTCCAAGTTATTCGGTATGCAAACAAAATACCAAAGAATTTCTACATATAATCTGTAATACATATAATCAAGTGCAAATTCTTTATAAATAATATTTTTTTACATATAGTGACTTTGCAAACAATACATTTATTTGTAATGGCCCCGAGTAATATCATAATACAAATTATTGCGTTAATATTTCTGCTAGGAAACAAGGGTGCCATCAGGCTGTAGGGTTTATATTTATTTTAACTAACATTTATTTTAAGTTTAAACTATCTTTCCTGTCAAGCCTTACTTTCCCCTGGAACTGCCAATGCCAGAGTATGTAAATTTTAGTAGAACGCGCAAGGATTCAAATTATCAGCGGAAGTATTCTGAGTTAAATAGAAAGGAAACGAGTTCGAGGTGTGTTGTTCGTACTTCACGATCGCGGAGGTAGTTAGCCAGAAATTAAAGAACCCCGCGTTTCGACCTGTGTGCTTGCCTCGGAGAATTGTTAATCGTTCAACGTGATATTCAAAGTTTGCTGAATTAGCAGCGGTATTGTAAAACGCGGTGAGGTTAGTTACTTTTAGAGAGCCTCGTAGTTAGAGTCTTGTTATTATTTCTTTTCAGGTTCTTATTTTTATTTTACCGCCGGGTCGGCGTAGTTTGTGAGCGTCAAGAGCACGCAATTGTAATTTCTTAAGTTGAATAAAAAGGGACTTAAACCCTTAGCAAGACTCTGTCTATTTTCCAGTTTCAACAGTCACCTCTTGGCTACGTGCAAGTTGGAGGCGCGCAACTCTACAAGGCAATTTCGAGAATTATTGTTGCTATACTGATATTTCTATTCTTGATAAATTTTGGAAAATTATCATACAAGTATTTTATTCTTTTCCAATAGTTTTGTAAAATATTTCTATGTAATTACAAATAACAATGCGCCTAAAGCAAAGGCCATAGCCATGTCTTATATGGCAGATATCAGTATCTTTTGACAAAACTCATAAGATATATTGATATTTTGTATAAAATAGTATAAACTCATGGTAGAACTTATAGCTCCTTGTTGATTTAAGTTTTAGAACTTCTTTGACTAAATCAGACGAAGTGTATTTTGGTGATGTGAAATTTTGCCAGTGTTTCGTTCAAACCGCTCTTTTTTCCATGAACTGCGACTACATTCTAAATTATAGCAAGGCGTTATATCACTAACTTGCATTTTTGAAAATGTTCTTACCTTCTGGGTTAGAATGGTTTTTATATTTTATAACTGTCGGCTACCATCAGATATATTCAACAGCGATTTATTAGATGAGGTTCAATTTGTATATCCGCCATTAACATAATGCTGAATATTTGGTATGAGAACATTTCTTTGAAATGCTACTTGTTATTAATTGCTTTGCAATGTTATTTGTTAATGAGAGCAACAGTTATTTTCTTGCATTCAAAGTAATATTACTCACCGGTACTCAACGGTATGAAAGTAATATAGCTCATCATCGTATCTTTTCAACATTTGATAGTTTGTGTATAGACTGTAATTAAACAGTGCTTTTCACATGCACGGTTTCTTATAAGAATATTGAGTATGATGTGAATAATAATACAAACACATCATACAAATTCAGTTTATGTGACATTCAGAAAAATGTTTTAGGTCTTGAAGGTAATTGGTAAATGAGTATGTGATTAGAAGATTTATAACTGGTAAATATACCTAGCTTTCACCGAAAACATAGATTCTAATATTGCTACTATTAGTATAAAAGAAGGAAAAGAAGACAACAGAGTTAAGAAAACATAGATTCCGTAGAAGTTGCCTGATTATAACAGTAAAATGGTCATTGGAAAAAAGAGCCATCTATGACTGTACATAGTGAAATAGAGAAAAATATTAATTCAAATTTCTTGAAAAAATAAAAGCAGTTGGAAGCGGAATTCTGAAACAGGTATAAAATTCCAAAACGTAACAAAACGTTGAGATTCTTTATAAAAAAAGAAGTAGTTATTACAACAGGTTGTTGGGAAACTGGGGGAAATAATAAAAATCAGTAATCTCGACGAAACAGGAGCTCCAGACCTCCCGATTGCTAACCAGACATATTTCCAGCTACACCACAGTACCTAAGAAGGGCAAAGGTAAGCGTTTATTTAATAATTAACGCAACTAATTTAATCATTTTCTTAGTTTATGCAATTACTATTTAACTTGCAATTTTGAAATTGATAAAATTTTGTAATTTGAACTAAAACTTTTGGAATTATAAGGGTTTAATTTTTAAATATAACATTATATGTTCAATTTTGAATGTTTAAATCATTATTTATTCGCATTTCCAAAGATATAGATTATGGTATTTGGCAGACGGTTAAATGTGTGTAGATTTTCTTTCTGTTATTAACTTTACTATGGACTATTCTATATCTTCCAAATCTATCGTGAAATCCAAATCTATGAAATTAGATTCAAGCGAATTTTGATTCTATATTCGTTTATCAAATTAAACTAGGCTTACCAGCATTTCCATAATATCCGTTGATATGTAAGCGATAACCTTGATCTTCGTCGTCAATCCAGAACTTATCATATGCTGCATATGCTCGGGTGTCATTGTAATACAAGAGCTCAAAGCGAACAGAGTACAGCTTTTGATTAGTAAAAGCAAAAATATTATCATTTCCTGAAATGAAAGATATATTGCAATTAGTATTGCGTTTGGAATTGTTCTTGTAGAATTTAAACATATATAATTACTACATAATTTACTAATCGTTAAATAAATACTGTATTATAGTTTCAAGTTGTGCATAACTAAGTAAGTGTAAATATAAGCTTTTATTTAGTTCAGTCATGATGTTTCACTGTGAGTATAATTTTGTCATCGTTTTTAACATATTTTCTCATAAGCTATTGAGTTCAAATTTTGTGCACATACTGTTCATCCATGACAGTGCAATGTGGTGAAGCGAAGTTTTGAAAATTCGATTTCGATTTTTTTATTTTATATTTAAGCGATTTTTCGCACATATCTTCGTTTAAAGAACAAGCTAAGAATGTCAGAATTTCACTGTCTGCACTATCGAATCGAGCTGAAAAGAAAGCTTTTCAGCGAAACTTGTTTAAAAATTTTTATCTTAATTTCTGAATTTGGGGCGAAGTTATGAAAATCGTCAGATTTTTGCTTATATTTTCTTTTTCCCTTCTTCCGTTAATAGAGGTACCAACAGTAAAATATTTTGAGTTATGAAATAACTTTAAATTATCAACAAGAAAATATTATTATTTATCGCATTTAAAGTTGAAATTAGTAATCATTTTATGAGGTTTAAAAAATATAATGAATAACAAAAATAATTTAATGAAGTTTCATAAACATAATAAACATCAAAAACAGTTTAATGCGGTTTAGAAAACGTAATAAACATCAAAAACAGTTCGATGGTGTTTAAAAAAACATAATATATATCAAAAACAGATTAATGGTGTTTAAAAAGCATAATAAATAATTCGAAAAAATATACATTTGCGAGAACGAAAACAGGATAAAAAACGTTCAGGTACGAAATTATTAAAATACTCTTTTAAAATGTATTAATTTCTATATTACCAAACCAAAAATCTTCATTCAATTTTCCGAATCCTCTTTTGTATTCATTCCAGTTCTTGTAAAAATAGTCCACAGGCCTCGAAAAATTTCCTCTTCTTTGAATTACCTGAATAACAAAATAAAATATCTAATTATTATTTACAACAACAACAACAATATATATATATATATATACTGACACCTACTAAGTTTCAATAATGATGAAAAAATTTATTTTTCTTTCATCGTCGAACTTTTTTTCTGTTGCTTCAGGGGATGTAAGTTTTAGGAAAAAGTATCTAAAAAAGACGCGGATGAATTAAAATGTGTAAAATGGCTAGTTACATTCCCTTTGATGTACGTGTGAGTAACACGTGCATACGAAAATATCCCTAACATTAACTAGGAAAGCCGAAATCTTAGTTAAGATAGACATGTAACAATTAATAATCAAATTTAATAAGGAAAAGTAACAGTTGCCGGGTACATTATAACGGCTTAAGAAATTCAGAGCACAGTACAGATGCGAGTACACAAGATTACATATCTCGGCGAAAACAGAGACGCACACATTTTTGAAGTAGTTCCACTTGACTGCCGGGGAAAAATCTTCTCTCTCCGTCAGCCTGTAGGTTTGCCAAACGGGTTTACTGTTTCGCCAATTGGCGCTTTCTGTACAGTTTTTTAAGTCCGTATCGCCTGTTTGGCGCTGCCGCTCCCTCCGCAGTGTCAACGAAATGTGACATACCGATGCGGGGGTCGGATTAATCGTCCAGAACGGGTGATACAATTGTCCGAAGTTTTTTTCACACTCTTGGAAACAACTTGAGAAGAGTCCATGGTTAGAAAAGCGGGTTTCAGTCTATCTATGGAGATCATTTGCTTAATCCCTTTTATTTCGAGATCAAACGTTTTATCTCGCTTTTCTAGCACTTTAAATGGTCCATCATAAGGAGCTTGGAGTGGCTTTCTAACTCCGTCGTGTCGAACAAACACATATGTGGACTTGTGAAGGCGTGGATGAATGAAACATGTTCGCTGGCCGTGGCTAGAAGTCGTGGTCGGGCGGACATTGGACTGGCAAAGTGGAGATTTTAAATCCTCCACAAACTGTTTGGGGACGCATCCGGAGGTGTCGGATTGAAAAATTCTCCTGGGAGACGGATAGTCTTTCCATACACCAGTTCAGAAGTGGTTGCTCCTATGTCCTCTCTTTGAGAGCGGCGCGGAAACCCATCAGCAGCGTTGGAAGGGCCAGCCACCCAGTCACTGGTATCGTGCGCTTTTAAGGCAGCTTTCAAAGGACGGTGGAATTCCTCGATAAGTCCATTCGCCTGTGGGTGGTACGGAGACGTCCTGATCCTCTTGATTCCCAATAATTGGGAAAGGGCTCGAAATAAGCCGCTTTCAAACTGTCGCCCTTGGTCGGTAGTAATAACAGTCGGACAACCAAATCGAGTAATCCAGTGGTCATAGAAAGCCTGTGCTACTGTGCGTGCTGTTATGTCTGGTAAGGGTACTGCTTCGGGCCATCTAGTAAATCTATCTATCATAGTTAGACAGTAATAATTATTTTGAGAAGGAGGTAGGGGACCAACAAGGTCAAGGTGGACGTGATCAAACCTCTGTGATTGGTCTGGAAACTTCATTAACGGGGGTTCTAGTATGCCTGCTTACTTTTGCTTTCTGGCACGGAATGCACTGCCGTGCCCATTTCGCGCAATCTTTGCGGATGGAAGACCAAACAAACCGTGAACATACTAACTTTGTTGATGCGCGAATGCCGGGGTGAGACAAATTGTGCAAGGTGGCAAAAACTTTCTCACGGAATGCCGGAGGAATGTAAGGGCGGGCGTTACCTGTTGACACATCGCAATATATCGGTAAGCTACAATTCGGTAAGGTAAGTTTTTTGAGATGTAGAACTTTTGACTCTTTAAGCAATGTTTGTAATTCTGGGTCGATTTCTTGCATTTTAGCGATTTCCTCATAGTCGATAGGGTTAGGCATGCTTATTGCTTCTATACGCGAAAGTACGTCGGCAGCGATATTCTCCGAACCTTTTATATGGCGAATTTCAGTGGTGAATTGTGAGATAAAGTCTAACTGCCTAGCCTGACGAGGTGAACACTTATCCAAACTCTTCGGAATGCATACGTGAGCGGTTTGTGATCGGTGATTAAAGAAAAGTTCCGTGCTTCCAACATATGCTTAAAATGCCTAATAGCAGCATAAGCTGCCAATAGCTCTCGATCATACGCACTATAGTTCCTTTCCGCCTGCGAAAGCTTTCGTGAGAAAAATGCGAGAGGCTGTAAATTTCTACCAACTATTTGTGATAGCGTTCCACCGATCGCGAAGTCTGACGCATCAACCTGTAAAACCAACTGGGCATCTTTCTTCGGGTGTGCCAAAAGAACAGCATTAGCGATTAGCTGTTTGCACTTTTGAAATTCACTCCGCGCTTCCTCAGACAAATTCAGGATTGTCTTATCATTTTTCTTAGCCCCTTTTAAATACGAAGTTAAATGTATTTGATTCTGGGCTACGTTGGGTAAAAATCGACGGTAAAAATTTAAAAATCCTAAAAATCTCTGCAAATCTTTTACCGTTTTAGGAAGTGGGTAGTTAAGTATCGGTTCCACTTTGTTCGTCAGAGGCTTGGTACCATCTTTATTGATTATATGGCCTAAAAAAGATATTTCCGGAACGCCGAAAACACATTTCGAAGCGTTAATTGTCAATCCATATGAAGTTAATCTTTCAAAAACAGTACGTAGGTGAGATTTATGCTCATCTTCCGTATCACTAAATATCAAAATATCATCTAAGTAGACGTAGGCGAATTTTAGATCTCCAAGAATTTCGTTCATAAACCTTTGAAAGGTTTGAGCTGCTCCGCACAGTCCGAAATTTAAAAACGGAAATTCGAAAAGACCAAAGGGGGTGCTAATTATTTTTGCCATGGCAGCCATGTTTTGTTTACATTTAAAACTTGGCAGAATAGTGGATTTGTTGCCAATCTAGAGAAACTAAGTTTCGTAACAACAAAGATAACGCCTTCTTTTATTATTGCGAAATAAGTCATGCTTAATCCATTCTGGAATTTATTCGCGGAAATAAGTGTTTAAGATTTATTTCGTAATTTTTAATATAGATATTTTGAGTTCTTATATAGTTTATTTTAGCCTTGTAGCGAAGTGAGGACTGAATTAATTGAATGAGAAATACTGAATCGTCTGAGAAAAACTGATTCTTTTTTTTTTCTTTTTGTTTGTTTAATTTCTTTTTATACATCCTTTTAGATTTATCACAGTATTTGAATAGAACATGTGGCAACGATTAGATAATTCTTCAGATGATGTAAATTTTGTGCGTTCTGAGTTATAAAATGATTTTCTAAATTTAGTCTCAAGATTAAGAAACATATTTACAATGCTTGTATTAGACCTTCTATGCGCCGCCAACTTGGAATACAGCCACTGACCATCAAATTCACCAACTACAAATCATACAAAATAAAAATTTCTTAGAATTATTACAGATGACATTATCTCATCAGAAATGATCTTCTACACAAGATCCTCAAAACTGAAGAACTTGAAACTTACCTACGAAGAAAAAATGATTGGTTTTTCAACAATGTTTCCACTAGTGACTACATAAACTACTCACAAATTTTCAACTACGAAAACCTGCATGCAGACAGGCTTACTAAACCTCTGGATGCTCACCTTTTCACTGACAGCGATCCAAATTTAACTATTTAAACATTGCTTCACGGGATGAATTTTGTTCAAATTGCATAATAGTGTACATATTTTCACATTGTTTCTGCATTATTTGTGTTTTATTGTTCAACTTGCATTATTATTTGTAACATCAGCCGTGCTGTAATAATTTGATTCTTCTCGTCTTCTTCAAATAAGATCCTAGCTTATTCATTTCTTAGATCGCTTCTCTGATTTCAGGCTTCAAGGCTCTCCTTCTTGCTTTTCGTTGCCTCCGTTTCTCCTTAGACAGATTACCATGCTAGGAAACTCTTATAGTCATGCAAGAATCGTCATTAAACTTATCACTCTTATCGTCATTAAATTAAATGCAAGAAAAAGTGCGTATAATTTGATATTCCGTTCAAGGAAGTCATGTGCTGTACACATCCGATTTTTAATATTGTAAAGGTACTGTTTTGATGAAAGCGCATAGACTCGTGAAGCCGTTAATGCATTTCAACTTTGAATTAACTCACATCTTCCTAGCGTTTAAATTAGTTTTTAATTTGTTATTTACAAATATCGGTAACTAATTTATGTCTAATTACGCAACATACATTAGAGGAATTTAAATAAAAGACTGAATTTCTTAAGTTTGAAAATTTCATTAAAGCATCAATATTACTTTTCTGGTCGAACGTAATACGTAGAAGAATTGGAAGATAAAATGAAAACTACTGTCTTTTCTAAGCCTAATTTAAACTTCTCAGTGTAAATCAACGACGTTTTACCCTAGATTACGATCTAATTTATTTATCCTTAATCCCTTTATAACTTTGTTTAAAAAATAATATTTTACAATTTTTCTCTTCATGAGAATTAAAGGCATTTATGTGTATTTCAAAAATATCTCTCTTCTAAGTAAATACTGTTTTAAAACCTTCGTAATGCTTTGAAATTTATGCTTATTTCAGTACATAACGCATGACCTGGATCTAAATTTCAATTGCTATTAGGACTAAAATTTATTATTTGATTAGTAAAACCTTATCAAGATAACCATTTACGATTTTAAATAGATTTATGCAAATGTTCTGGTATTAGAAAAGTGAATTCTATTACCCATGCTTATTTGCTGTCTGATGAATATTGACTTTATTCAGAGCTGGTGGTCTCAGGAAGTTAATTTTTCTCTATTTTGCCTATAGGTAGTTAATAACTGGTAACATTTCTTTATATCTTATTTTCATCTTGTCACCTATTTTATTCTATACATCATTCATGGTTTCTCCTACACCTGCCAAAGGAATTTCTAAATCAGAGCTTCTATATGATCTATTAATAATACTCGGTTAAAGGAAATTAGAGCAGTCCTTTTACTTCGCTGGCATATGCCAATCATAGCAGCAGGTTCTCTTATTAATGTAAATGTCTCTTAATAAAGATTCTCTTGCTGAATATTCAATTACAAACCCAAGAAGTGAAATTTTTAAGATACCATGGTAAAAAATCTCCCTTAAAAAATTCAAGAACTTGGATATAAAATACGGCAATAAACCACTCTTAACAAGGCATTCGTCTTCGTGAAATAATCCTCAAAATAAACAAGCTAGCAAATTTCTATAACCTTTATATTAACTTCTATAACACGGCACGGCCCCTTTCCCTCATTTTTTTATGCCAGGGAAATTCCCAGTTCAAAGATACGTTTTTTGGGAAAAGGGGGGGACCTGATAATTAAATATACAGTTGTAATCTGGCAAAGGATCACCGCATTATACATCCATCAACAAATATGCAGGTACTCAAAAAAGGTACTTTAAAAGCAAAATATCTAGAAAATAAAATATGCAAAGTAATTCAATAACTTCAGAACACGGGAACAGATCTATATAAAGGCACTTAAAATAGCAATATAACAAAGCAAATACTTCAAAATAGCAAATATGTGATTAAAGTATATACAAATGAGTATAGAATTCAAGTTTCAGTAAAATGATGCTGAGTGATGCTGGAATCCGGTACTCGTACGGGTGTTCCATGGGCTCCTGGTGGTTCACGGGTTGGCGCCTTGGAATTTGGTGCGAATTGGTGGCTGACGCCTGGCGCTGGTTTCTTGTGAGTTTCCTGATGGGTGTCGTTCCCTTAACATTAGCTGGGCTCAGGGATTCTTCAGTCACCTATGATACTGCAGAGGTGCTGGTGTAGCTTCATGTTATGAAATGTTATGTTATGCCAAACACAGCCGTCATTTTACGATACTCACACACGCCAGTTAGAGTATCATTTTATGATAGTAAGTTAAATGAAATGGTAACGCCAAAAGCTAACGAATGCAATTTATAAATGCATTAGTAGTTTAAGAACTGTAAATCATAATTAATAAAATCTTTTTATGGCATTGCAGCACTTGACTTTGATTAAAGGAAATAAGGAAATAAATAAAAACGATAGAAAAAGTAAATGATATTGAAACATTCTAATGCTATATCCTTATCATTATAAGGGCACAACTCCGATCCTCCTATCCGGCCCAAGCCGGCCATATGATCAAAAAATGGGACTGGCCAGAAAAAAAGCAAATATAAAATAAAACAAATAATGTCCAAAATCTGAGTCTCAGTGCCGACTCAGATTATGCTCAATCAATATCATATATGCTTAATCAATATCATATATGCTTAATCAATATCATATATGCTTAATTAGTATCGTATATGCTTGATGCTGTATCATATATGTTCAATCAAACTTGCATGGGAAATTTTACTAAGATTAAAATTTTAGAATTATTAATCCAGATACTATACAATTGACCATGTCCATCTGAAATGAAATTCCTAAAGTGAAGCATTCATTAGGCTCGAAGTTTTAACTATGCGTAGATTTTGATAGGGTATGCAAGTATTTAGCATTGTATCTGCACTACTAATTCCGTCATAAAGCACTCACTACAGTAGTTCTCTTATAAACTGGAAATGTGTCTCCTCGGCGTTCTTTTGCATGGGAAGCTTTAGTAGGTCTTTTTCGGAAAAAAAAAAAAGAAAAAAAAAAAAAAAAAAAAAACAGTGATCATTCCAAAACGTTTCTGAGTTTTTCAGAAGAAATACAGAGGCTTATACGGACTAAAATTATTCTTTTTATATATTGTTATATTTCTTATTCAAGGCAAAAACGTAAATGCATTTTCTGCTTTCAATTCTTCTTTCAAGAGCAAAACAGAATTTTAGAAAAATCTGTGTGTGCTTCAACGATTTGGATTGCTTCCCAATAATATAAAAGGCTTTTTAGAAGAAGAGACGGTTGAAATAGGGAAGATATCTATTGACGAAATTAGCATTTCAAAGGTTTGAGTGAAGCTTTTAATCAGTATTTTCCAAATGCACAGCAGATTAAATATTAAAATGAATTGCAGATTAAAATCCCATTTATCGTCAATGAATGACCTTCGAATATGTCAGCAGAAGAATACAAAACTATTACTGAAAAGATATGACATTCACTCTTAGCAATTTAAATAACCGTTGTTATTGATATTCTGGCGCACTCTAAAAGATGAAAATCAACTAGTATTACAGAAGGTCGCGCTGGCACTTTTATCATTTGCAACTACGTATATGTGAGAAACGAGATTCTCAGCAGGCCGATAAAAATTAAATACTGCAACAAAGGTGATGCTGAACCAGGACAGCATTATTATGCGGCAATAATTCAACTTTTATACATAAAGCCTAATATTAGGTATATCTGCGGTAATACAAAGCAGTACTACTCATCTCCTTCAAATTAAAATTTAAAAGTCCTGTTTGAATACTTTAAATTATTTTAAAAACTTTTAGGCTAATTTTGATATTACTCTTTGAAGCAAATAAGTATTATTTGAAATAATTTTCATTTCTGTTGCAAATAACCTACGAAATGTTGCATTAAAGCCTGATAATTGAAGCAAACCAGAAGTTCCACTGTTAAGTAAACATTATAAAGGGTTTCACTTATCTGAAAGATTAAGAAACTCTGGATTAGAGAAGGTTCATTTTAAATGGTACTACTATAGTTCCCAATGGCTTTTTTATTTATTCATTCGAAACTTTTAGTCAGTTTCAGAGAATTTCATCTATGGTAGGTTATGGTCAGTAGATGATTTACTTTAGGTAAAAATTTAGCATTCAGAATACCTTACCGTCCAGCCACCCCCATCAGTGTCCATGTCGCAGTACGCTTTCACCGATTCGCAACTCAAAATTCTACTCTTAGGCCAAAGGGTATACACTCCACTAGTATTATGTCCATTCAATAGAACTTCAGCACAATCCATTGGTCTCTCGGGAGGCTTAGGACACGGATCTATTCAAAGGTAAAACATTCATTTATAAATTTTTTATTAAAAACACAAACATTTCCCCATGTAGCACAAAATATTACATGGGGTTGACAGAAGTAAGTATAACGCACAATCTAAAAATATAAACACTAAAGAAAATAGTTTTAGAAAAATTATGAAGGATTACTATAATTTACAATGAACGTACAAAAACAGTCACAGGCACTTCTGTCGCAAATAAACTGATGAAAATCTGGAGGCCAGTTATTATTAATACACTAATGATTGCGAAAAATGCAACACCGTGAAGGAATTACCGGAAATGAAGGAAATTTATTCCATATACGTAATTCCACAAACAAACGATGAAATTTACAAGACAAAAAACAAAAACAAACATCGGAAATCAGTACTTTGTGTGTCCGCCACGCTGAGCCATCAGATCCTATACACGTCGTGGCATTGAATCATGGTTCTGAATGGAATCCTGGGGAATGGGATGCCATATATCTTCAACCTGACGCCAAAATTTAATCTTAGTGTCTGTCCTTCCTTGTAACAGCGAGTAGCCGACCGCTGAATTACTAAACATGATCAATGGGTGGCATATCTGGAGGATAAACAGGCCATGGAAGAAGTTAACTGTTGTTCTATAAGAAGGCTTGTGTAGTCTGAGAAACATGCGCACGCCTATTATCCTATTGAAATATAGCGCCCAGAATGCATCGAAGAATGGGAAGGTCCTCTGGCTCCACAACTTTCCTTATGTAGAAAACACTGTTGAGATTGCCCGCAGCCTGCATTAGATGGGATCGATATTTATACCCAATGGCTCTCCAGACCATGATGCCAGGCTTTTGTGCGGTATGACGCTGGATAAATCACTATGGGAGTAGACGTTCCCCTCTGTAATGTCTGGCGTGTACTTTTCCATCATTGTACTCCAGATTACAGCGAGATTCATCACAGAAAACAAATTGTTGACACAGGGCATGCCTTGCACTGTGTCGCAGTGTCTGCTGAAGTCGGAGGCATGTGTAATTAAGCGACAGGGGAACCCTCCTTAGAAGAGCCATTTCACAAAGTTTAATTCTGCATCAGATGGTAATGAACTGTGGAGCTAGACAACACAACACCTGTAGCCGTTCTCCAACGTTGTGCTAACACACTAGAGGACGCTGAACGATCCGTCACAGCAATCCAGAGCAGGCGTCTATCGTCCCGTGCCATTGTGCTATTGCGTGCCTCACTGCCAGGATTTCGCCTTGTTTGGTTCTTCTTTTTTCATTTTGTCTAAACACGCATCACTGTTGTGGTACTACGCTGCGTGTGGGCTGCGATTCCTCGATACGAAAGTCCATCCTCTCGTATATCGATGATGCGGCTTCGTTCGAACACCATTAGTTGTTGGTATCGCTCCCTCCGCTGTTCACGAAGCATATTGACCACTAATTAAACTAATTCACAAGTCAAACAACAAAAATCAGCGTTATATTTACAAAATTTTCACAGGATTTTTGTTGTTTGACTTGTGAATTAGTATTTATTCGGCGTGTTATTGTGTCTTAATCACTAATTAAACGTTTAACGCAGACAGAGGACGATAAACATATTTCAACACAGCTTTGTAGACACATTAGGATTTTTTGGAAGCAAGAGAGATTTAAAAATTAGCAACGCTTCGCCGGGAATCGAACCACGGACCTCTGGAATACTCGCCGAGCGTGCAGACCACCACATCACAAAGGCATGCCAAAAAGGCGGAAGAAATATCTTATAACTTTACAGTTCTTTATATACATGGAACAAGCGACCGGTTCTCATTCCACGCATGCGCAATCGTTTTTAATTCTAATTATTTGAATGTCTTACCTCACTTTACATGCCCTGTGACTTTGGTTCAATTTGCACAATCCCTTCATGATGTGATAATTTTCAAAAATATTAGTGTATTTTTAAGTGCAATTTTAAGATTTTTCCTTCGCTGTCAAATGCGGAACACAGAAGAAATACATGTGCAACATTTTCCTCGCCACCAACGCTGAAATTACGATAAGTTTCTGGACCCAACTCAGATCTGCTCAGATAAATTTTAAAGTTTCCATGGCCAGTAAAGAACTGTGTCATTTTATAACTTGTAAAATGAATGATCACATGGCAATCTCATTTTGATGGAAAGCAAAAATCTCCTAGTTAAGCTCATTTTATTTGAACTAATATATTTTGGATTCCACAACTCCACGATACCTCATGACCTTCTTATAAAAGGCATGACATCTTATTCATGATATTCTTTGATGCCGTATAAAAAGATTTAGGGATATTGACAAAAATGTGGATTTTGCGGTTGGTGGGAGTCTTTGCAAGAAAATCGGCAGTTCATTCCCAACAACATTCGCATACAAATATAAAAGCAATCGAAATGTTTTCATATTTTAAGTTTCTAAGTTGTCTTTAAATCTCGACAATTATGTTTTTAGAAGAAGAAATACATTTTAAGTTCTCCAAATATGAAAGGGAATCAATACAAATATGATAGTCTGAAACAGCACTATTTTATTAAGTGATCATTTGGTAAGACACAAATCTTCAGCTATAAAAATTGCACATTCTCTTCAAAATCTAAATTAAAAGTACTCTAATTCAAGACTATTTCTAAAGCTAACAAATGTGAAACCAATTTTGCCATCAATTTTACTGCCATCATTACAATAATTTAGATGGAAATCTTCTGCGATTTTATTGTTTATAAGGTATTTTTCCTGCCTTCTTAGCATGTCTTTGTGGTGTAACACGCTTGACGCGTATTTGAGAGGTCCGTGGTTTGAGTCCCGGCGAGAGTATTGCTCATTTTTCATCTCTCCTGCTTCGAAATAACCTAATGACTCTACATGCTAAATTAAATAACATTAACAGAATTTCTTTCTTAGTGATGAGGAAAAATATATGGATGCAAAATAAAATGATAACCAGAGACAGAAGAAGAAGAGATTTACCCTAAAGGAAATATTATGAAGAATGGAAACGTCAATTGGGCAAAAACCAGAAATTATTTAAACAGACTCATAGCTTGTAGGTAATTTTTAAAAGCCGGAGAGATGAAAAATTAATAACCGTCTTCGACGGGAATCGAACCACGGACCTCTGGAATGCCGGCTCAGCGTGCAGAACCACTACACCATGAAGGCACGCTAGGAAAGCGGGAGAAATACCTTATATACTCCCCTTTTTAAAGGTCGACTGGGGTTTTTGTGGGACCCAATCACCAAATCCTGCGCGTGGAGAGTCATTATCCAACACCCTTTTAGTTCGGACGCCACTTTTAGGGTCATTAGGTAATTTGAAAAGCCGGAGAGAGGAAAAATTTGCAACCGCCATCGCCGGGAATCGAACCCAGCGTGCAGAACCACTACAGTCCGAAGGCACGCTAGAAAAGCGGGAGAAATACTTTATAAGCTTATGGTGTGATATCCCCATATGGCCTGCATAAGTATTCGCCTTTAAAATGCGTAGCAGATATTTATAATTTATCTTTCTCTTATGTGCCATACCCCAAATTCTAGAGCTGTTCATTATGAAGGGTTCAGTTCCTTGATTATAGATAAGAGAATATAGTATGTTGAAATTACATATTGCGTGCAATTTGACTTGCAATTTGCTGATGTAATTCAGCAATATCCATTTCACTGATATGAAAGTTAAATATCTCTTCCTAGAACATTTACAGTCAAAGGAAACCTTAAGATATTTTATTCCCTTCAACACAGTCAATCGAGTTCCCTTGAGAAATAACTGAACTGCATCATAATAAACATTATTATTGAATATTCAATAATAATGGCTTAGTTTTATCAGGATTAACGTCCAACTCAAAATTTTTTGATTAATCGGAAGCGAGGTTTAAAGTATCCTGTGCGTGGAAAAAAGCAGCAGAAGATCCCTAATCTGGAAGCAAACCAAGAAATCATTCACAAAGGCTCTAGTATAGCAAAAGGTAAGGCTTTCAAACTTTGAGAGGAGATCATTAATAATAATGTTCCCAAAATTAGGTCCAAAAACTGAGCCTTGAGGGCAAAAACTGAGCCTTTAGACTTTCAAGGCGACGGATTGCAAACACCAAGCCGAACTGAATTTGGCCGTCCTGTCATTCGAAACGTCATCAGCAAGTAAAAAAGATGTTCGTTGGAGGTTCCACCTTTTTTAGAAGGTTGAGAATGCAAGGTCACCACGCATTGTCGAAGATGCCTTTTATATCAAGAAAAAACAAATGGTGGGCAAATGTTTCTTTATCGTTCCCTAAACAACCTCATTCTGTGAGGTCTAAAACCGTATTGATCACCAGAAAGAAAGTCTCCTCGGAGGAGATACTATCAATTTCTGTTAACAAAATTTTTTTCCAAGCCCTTACTTACAGCAGAAAGTAAGCTCATACATCCACGGTTATCCAAATGAGGTACCTAGACTCATTTTCTTTAGAAATGGATTTCATCTGAGCATGTTTCCAAAAATGTAGAAAAATACCAACATCCAGATATAGAATACTTTGAATTTTCTTTGATATAGAATCAGGACCATTTATTTAGTTCCAGTATCGGAATAGCTTCATCACAGGAAGAAAAAGAATTAACAAAAGAAAAATAAGGAGTACTCACAAACTCACGGTACTCCTGATGTAAATCATTAGCAATTTCCTCGGGATCAAATGAGAAGGATTTCTGAACCACAGTATTTCTCATTTAGAGAATTGGCTGTTTTTCCCGTAGATAGATAAATGCCAGTTAATTAATTTTTTTTTCGTGAATTCTGTTTTAAAAATATATGTATAATTTCTCCCCCCCCCCAAATTGGGAACATCAGTGGTCAAGAGAAATGTTTCCCAGGAGTCAGATATAGCGGCGGTAAGCATTTGATTACATATTTTGCTATATTCAAGATATTTACATTTATAGAATGCTCTAAAGTTTGGATTTCTACAACGGTGAAGTATGGACGCCTACAGGCATTAAAACTCTTTCACTCAAACAATATTCAATATGCCTAGAGGCATTAAACCTCTTTTCCACTCAATCAGTTTCGATAAACCACCAAGAAATATAATGCATGCCATGACTCTTAAGGGGCATTGAAAATAAAGATGCTTGGAGAAGAACAGAACGAATATCCTCAATGACCGTATTTAGTCACGAACCATTAGTATAATCGTTTAGTATAGGTAACACGAGAAGAGAAAACCTACTGAAAACGACACCAATTTGCTTTCTTTGTATCGAGGATTTTAAACGAAACTTTTAACCTATCTCGCAAGACCATAGAGAGACAAAATTCGAATTCTGTCATCATGTGATCAGAAAAAGATTCATTTTCGGACAGAGACCAACTCGAAATATCCTGGAGATCTGAACCAATAACTGTACTATCAATGTATTTAGCTTGATTCTGAATTGCACGAAAAGTAGGTCCATGATAATCATTAATAACAGAGAATTCGTAGAAATAAATTCATTTAGTTTATCTCCACGAGCGTCTAAATAGGGACTAAAACAAAATTCAGATTTGCCATTGGATTCCATATACCAAGCTAGTCAATTAAGGTTTTTGTACATAAAAACTTAAGTAATTTTATGAAGATCTAAATCAATGTTTCTTGAGGGCTCCAAAATCCAATGTGACCATATTGTAATCTATATTTTTATAATCAAGTAATTTTGAAAGATCACGTGATCGAACGGTAATTGCCGCTTCCTTCAACATTATCAAAATTAGGATCACAATAAAGTTTCTAAGTACCAGGATATCCTGGAAGTGAACTCAACTGTAAGAAAGAAGCTCCTGAATCAACGCACAGTCAATAGTTTCGGTTTCCACATTTAAAATCAGCTGTTGTTTCGTAGCTTTAGATTTATGAAGGTTCAACTGCACACACTTCAGAGCTTGCTGTGCTAATTTAACCTTAATCAGTTCGAAGAGTGAATATTCTTCCTCATAAAGGCACTCTGAAGAGTTTGTAATTAATATTCACTTTTTTCTGTACATTATTTGTTTTATTATTGAAACGGATACAATTTATTCAAACTGCAACATTCCTCTTCGAACAATCTTTCTCCTTGTATTCTCCATTAAGTTAAAAGAGCCTATATGTTCAGTACATTCATCAGCACGATGATTGTACTCAAAACACTTAAAACATCTACTGATGATAAGAAAATTATCCACTTCACATGCAATATAATTAATTTTCGATCTGGCTTGACGAAGAATATATTTACCAACCAACAGGTGCGTTTTAATCACAACCTATCTCGTACACTGAAAATTTTTTAAAGTAAAATGAACTCTAAATGCCCTCGTGTTTTCATTGGACTCAACAACTTCGAGATTTTGTTAAAAAACCACTTTCAGAGGATCTTCATTAGGTATTTCATTTAGCTTATTTTTTCCGAGGATAATTTCATTTGGCTTATTTTTTCCAAGGATAATGCCAAAAAGGGATTCCTCTTTTTTTTTTTTTTTTTTTTTTTTCCAAAGATGTATTTAATTTTGGAGATTTTTCCTTAACCTCGGTTCGATGTCGATTCCGATAATTTTCAGTAAAACTCTTAATGAAAATTATATTTCCTCCAATATTTTTCAAATAACATTCACCCGGCTTAGCCTCTAATGGATTTATTTTCAGTTTAATAATTTTCATGACATCGTTAGAAGAGCAATTTTCAGAGTCCACATCCAAGCAAAGATCCGAAGCAAACAAGAACTTTTCGTAATCCTTTGTGAAATCAAATGACTCCCCAACACTAGCACAACTTGGCTTTTAGATGGTTTCTTTCACACTGTCCTTACATGATTTCATAATATTAACCTTTCTGATTCATTTAAAATTCTTATAAATAGAAGTTTTCAACTCAACCAGTGTTTGTCTCGCCTCCTTTCACACCTGTTGACTCATACTGCATTTAAATTAAAATTCTGATTCAATAAGTTTGCAATGTTTTTAAGAGATTCGTAAAACGCGTCATCCTCCCTAGCAGACATTACTGCAACATATCTTCATTTATATTTTGGATTTTAATTAACTCTTATAATTACAGTTCGTATAATTATTGAATGAATTTCATAAGAATGTTCACAGAATTTCCGGAATAAGAGAAACAGCTCTTGTTTACTATAAAAAGAAACAAATCTTTCTTAAGGATTTTCTATAATTTTAGTGAAAGAATTCTTTTCATGTTCATAACGAATTATTAAGAGTATACAAAATAACGTTTATTAGGCACAATACATAGTCACTCACCTTATAAAGAATCATCAGAATCTCCCATGCATACTCTCGTTATATAAGTTGTTAGCACGTTCAGCTGGCAATTGCAGAAGCTTGGACTGAATCCCTTTGAGGTAGCAACTTCTTTCTTTTCTTGTTTTTGGTTACGAAAAGTCTGAATAATATGCATAATTCGACAACAAGGAGCGATTCTTCCCACGATGTCCATCCCAGGTACCTCTATAACTCTTTGAGTTTTACAGACATGCCTAGTGGTGTTCTTAGAAATATCTATTCATGACTCTGGCACTATAACAGTTACAGTATCCTCTGTACTTGCTTTCTTTCGACTGACCAATCACATCTATTGCCACGTTAAATGACACTGCTGTAATTCTATGAAATATATTCAAAATCTCAACTTCATCTACCTGAAGGGATGCGCTGTTTGATCTGATTCCCATATTTTAATAAGGGAGTAAGGAATAGCATTAAGTATAAAAATATAATTTATTCCGCGTACAGAAACGAAATTTGTTCCAGAAGTACTGTAGAAGCCTTTGCGGACCCTACAGAAAGGACTCTGAGAGGAGAGAGAAGTTTTGGCAACAACATACATTTGATGTGCGCCTCTTGCTGATTGGCTGATGAGGCGCATCTCTCGCTCGCATTAATAAAATGTTGCACACTAGTCCCTGAATGCTTGATGTCTCATGTAGATTCGTATAAATAGGTATTTAAAAATAATTCATGATGCGTAATTGAAACTCCAGATATTTAAGAATAAATATTTTAACACTAATTTATAACTGTAGAATAATCGAAACACTGTTATACCCTTATTGAAAGGGAAAGTAATTTGTAACGTATTCTAGCTGCAATATACTAGCAGTAGAAAATTCATATTTAGTAGATCCAAACACTGTATAAAATTTTAAGTTCTTTTGCGGAATGAAGCTGAAAATTCCCTGCACCATGGACTTAAAACTGAACTTCAGAATAAAATCTAAACTAAGTTTTACGGATTACTCCTGTCAGCATGTCAGCATTAATTCCTTCACCTCGGTCAGCTTATTCATATATTTAGCAAAATCAATTTATTACTGGTTTATATAGCATTTAGCTTTTTTACAGGAGTGTTCGGGATAGGGTTGACAGGAGAAAGTTTATTGGAATTTTCCAGAATATATGTTTCAGAGGTTTTCTACCCTCATTCCTTATTTAACAAGTATTCATCTTTCGACTAGTTTAAAATGCCGTCAATTATGGCAGGAAGAAAATATAGCTGTATAAGTGACTAAATTCAGCACGAGAAAATTATAAGACGCAGCTCAAATTCAGCTTCAGATATACTCAAGATACTATGAATTAGTGGGAATTTCAAAAGGTATATCATAAAATAAATTTAACTCAGAAACGTTCGGTAGTTATGCACCAATAAAAGTACGTAAAATGTCAAAGAACTACAGAGAATTATATAAATAAAACAAATTAAAACATTAATAAAAAATCATAAAGGGAAAAAAACATAAATTAAACTTGGCGGCACAAACAGCCCTTAGAGAGCCATGCCCAGCAATGCCCTGATATCTGGTTTCTAGACCGTGGGCCCGGGGTGCTTGTGCATATTGCCTGAACAAGTGGTCAGCTTGTCGCAGAATCTCCGGTATTTAGTCTCTAAGCGAACTTAGTACTCATTTTACGGATCCTCTCAAGAGATGAAAGGATGAGTCAAAGTTGCCCTGCCCGCGGATCGAACCCCGGACCTGTGGTGCTGCTGCGCAAAGCGCTAGTCAAACGAGAAAACATAAATGCGCAATAATTCAAATCTAATAAAAATTTTTCATGAATTACGAGAAAACATTTTCATAAATTTGTAATAAAATTCAAAAATTTATTATATTGTTTGTTTAACATCTCAAAGGCTTTCCAGCTTATGGGGACAGCTTTCTTTTATTTATGTTAAGTAGCTATTGATAATGCAATTTGTATCTATTTGTATCCATGTATCTATTATAGTATCTATTATCTATGTATTTATATTTGATAATGCGATTTGTATATATATTTAGTAACAATCTGTGAAAACATACAATTAAGCTTAAACGTTTTACTTCTGAGACTTGTGCGTGCTTAAAGAAAATGATTAGTTGAAGCATTAATATAAAATATGGTGCACCACAAAGTCAATAAATACTCTTAACAATAAAAGTCTACTTAGCTTATGATATTTCACATTATACGCATTTTAAGATTGTTATGAAGCAGGAATAGCTGTGACATATTTGATGCACGTGCAATTTGTAATCAGTTTGTATGGTTCTACTGAATAATAAATAAGTTTGATGATTAGGATATAAGTTCATTCTTTATTTCTTTTTATTAGGATCATGATTATTAGGTTTCTAAATCAAGCTTTTTTCAATAATGACAACTTCATAGATTATATTGATAAACGTTTATGGATAAGCAGTTACATCAAAATAGGTTATGGAACCTGCATAATTTGTAATTTTTTTTTGTTATCGTATCATGTCGTATTATTTCCTAATAAATCTAAAAACAAAAATCTTATGACAAAATTTTAATGTAAAATGGCTTGATGAAATTTTGCTTTGTTTAAGCTCCACCGTAAACACGCGAAGGTTTTAAAATTGAAATTTAATTAAAATAGTTAAGCTAAATGAAAAATACAGTAACATTAAACTTACGCGGAAATAGTGACGGAGGATTCAGAGAATTTCCTAATTTTATAAAAGCATCTGCTTTTCCTTCTTGCGATGTATTCTCATTGAAAACAGTTTCAAATCCCACAAAAAGCAGCACACAAATCCAGAACAGTAACCTGTCAGAGAAGAAAATTGCATTAATTTGAAATATTGAGCTAAATGCTCTTAGCTATTATCTTACTGTTTTGTGTGTGAATGATTCGCTTTTAGCATGTTAAAACTTTCACATTCGTTTTTCTTCTACATTTCCAAGTACACCGTCCAAGTTGTACTTCAAAGTTGTATTTTGAAACTACTATTAGAAATCAATTATATCTGAATTGACAAAATTCTGGAGTCTGCTAGAGCATGAAACTTACTACTTTGCATTAGATTACTCTCTTAAGCCTCTTCAATTTCTTCCATTCTATACACCGAAAACATTATCAAATCGGGAAATTTCGCGGACAAAATTAAACGAGAAATTCGAGTTGCGAAAATTATAGCCCTAAAAAAAGCCAGTAGTCTCGCTAGTAGTTTCAAAACATCATAATACTAAAGATTGTAATAATGCAGCGGCAAAACTTCAGAGTTTCGAAATGCCATCTTGCAAAACCTCATGGTAAAGAAGAAAGTACTTACAAAACAATACACGATGAATAACATCGCAGACATCAGCTTTCAGGTTTTAGACATCTCAACTGTACGTTAAAGTATGTAATGATTTGCGAGCGCAGGAAAAATGAGGAATATTTTTACAAGCACTTTTTTCAGGTTTTTAATTAATTAACAATATTTTATTAAAGAATCAAGAAGAAAACCTAAGCATCCAAAAATAATTAATCCTTTTTATTAAGACATACAAAATTTTCAGAAAATACACAAAATGCATTCAGTTCAGTTAAGGCTACTTATGACGTAATATTTATGGATAATAAAATAGTACGAATAAATCCATCATTCTTTCAAGCAAAGTTTCTTAAACTGTGGGTCGCGACTCCCAGGGGGTTCGCGGGACTTGCAGCAGGGGATCGCCAAAACTTTTAGCAGTTTTGATATTTCTTTAACTTATTATAATAATATTTTTATACAATATATCTGAAAATAGATAAAGGTAAGACAAAGAAAAAACGAAAACGTTTCAACGCATTCTTTTTATAATATAAAAGTTCATTTTTCTTACTTTGCACGTGACGCGGTCACTTCGTCTGTTACTTATTTAAAATGTTCACATTGTTCAATGTCTTAAAATTAGAAATTAATGACCTAAAAACTTCAATAGTATATTACAGTACAAGTGAAAAAATTGGCAGTTTCACTCACGCGTGTGTCGAATTTACGCAATACTTTAGGAGTCCCGCAAAATTTTTGTGAATATTATGGGGTTCTGGGGGTGACGAAAAAATCTCAGTGATAAAAAAGGGTCGCGACTGGGAAAGATTTAAGAAGCCCTGTTTTAAAGTCCAAAAAAAATGTAAAGTATATAAGATACTTACTCTTATTTCCTTGATTAGACGCAGTTGAATATTGGCAATTAGTAATATGTGTTGACACCGAAATTATCAAACATCATTTGGCGATCTAGGTTTTGCTGATAAACTAAATAAATTTTTTATGCGGTTTTAACACAAATATCACGTTTAGACTTGATTTTATTTTATAAAAGATGAGTATAACTTCTTAAAATTTTTTAAATGTGAAAACTGTGGCGTACTGTGGTTTTACCTTCGTGCTCTATTTTGAGGGGACAATTAGTTTTCCCAATGATATTTTATATAATACTGCATTACAATGTCATTTTGTCACCGATATATTTTCTACTACGATGTTTTATACCTAGATAACCCTCGCCTTGTTTTTTTCCAGGACGGTTGCATACTCGGTGTTAAAACAATGAGTATTTTTCGTATCCCAGGTAATTCTGCCCCTTAATTATTAGCCGCAACCATTGAACTGTTTTTTTTATCAATATTGCAAAATCCAGCATTTAAGGCTTTAATTTAAATTATTTTGTATACAAAAACTTTCCAAGGAAAAAATTAGTCATGAAAGTTTTTCATAAATTTTGAGCTTCTAAAAGTATCTGCATATACATACATATATCTAGCAATAATAAACCTTAAGTATAACGTTTTCTTTCAAATATGAACGCCAGTATCTATGTACCTTTAGTGGTATTTGTAATGAACAATGCAAAGAATAATAAAATATTAACTTACTTATAGTTGAACATCTTGATCAAGATTTCAAGAACGCATCAGTGTGTGTTGAGAAGTAGTGTTATTCAGAGATGCCGCTTCTTTTATATCCACTTCAGATATGCGATTAAGGTATATTTATCGCTTAAAATATTCATGTAGATACGATAATTTGATGAGTTAAAAATTGTTCTTTTTCTATACGCAGTTCCTTTGCAGTTGAAAGGAACTTTCAGTAGATAATAGAAGAAAATGGATGATATCTGGTATCATTTAATATTGTTTCCGCTATCATTTAGACCTGTTTGTAAAGTGCTAAGTGTCTTTTAATCAGTTAACAGTTGAAGATCCTGTAGCACAACTGAACAATAAGAATAGCTTCTCATGCACATAGAATATCTAACACATCCTTAGTATTCAGGTATTTTCTTGAAACTCAGTCATCAATTTAAAGACAACAAAAATTATTCTAACAAACTGCTTTTCCTATTTCCAGTTACTTTTGATCATTCTTGCACTAATGTCATAAATTACGGTAGCTATGGATTAAATGTAAAAGTAATTTTTCCAGAAAATATTATTTCTTACTATATATTAATTATGAGCGTTCATGAAACAAAATTCAATTGCAATATAAAATTCGATTACAAAATAAATTACGCTTTAGATTTCAATAACTTAAAAACCAGTCCGTTTTCAAATAGCAAATTTTTTGTAGTTTGTACAATAACTAATTATAAAATGCTGCGTAATCGCATAATAATTCATACCAGTCATTACTAATATTTCGCATAATATAGTAGGCATTTTCAAATAAATTTTCTCAGAGCATGATTGTAGAAACATTCTCTGTATATAAATAAGTGAAATGCAAAAATACGTTTTCAAAGACCACTGAGTTTTTAGAAGCCAGGAAACTGAATTAATGAATAATGCTATCACCTAGATTTGAACTCTATATCTTCCGACTGCTAGTCGGGCATACTTACAATTGCACCGCAAAGGCCCTGCGTTAAGCAGGGAGAAATTACATAATATTCTCGCCCATTTAAAGTGCAACTGGAGAGAAAAGGATACAATAGCTACATCCTGGTGGTGATAAATTTTCGAGGTGACAATTTTGGAGGATACTTTAAAGACTATTGTGTTGTTAGAAACCATAAACCTGAAGAAAATAAAAGATGCTCTCGTTGGGAATCGAACTCGAACCTTCCAACTGCTAACTGGATATGCTTCCAATAACACGTCGAAGACACACGTTAAGAAGGGAAAAAACACTTCGCACAGTTTACTATTACACTGTAGGATTCTCCAGTGTGTAATTCTAAGTTACAGTTGAATGTGAAGAATCTTAAGAACTAGTAAGCGAATAATCGCTTGAGTTCGTGAGGTAGAAAACAACAAAAGAAAAGTGAAATAACCCTTTATTATTCCAACTAAAGTTTAACAGAACTCTGTCTTGGAGTTGTACAATAAAGCCGATACGCGGGCTTTAACTTAGGAAACTAAGAATTTAACTAAAGAGATGTAGCCGAAGCTATCAAACTTTTAAGAGTTGGCCCCTTAACGCTAATTGACTGCGAAGCTACCAAGGACCTAAATAATAGCTTAAAAGAGAGTAGCCTAAAAAGGCGGTCGCGTGTTAACCAGAATCTCTGGTTCTCTCTGACTAAGACAGTAGAACTTCGCGGTTAAATACCGCTCTTCCTCGATTTGCATTCAAACGTGATTCTAAAACTACGTTCTGGCCGGAAGTGGTAAGTTGAAATTAAGAAGCGATAGGAAAGGAAGTTTAACTCAAAATTTAACTGTTAATAATATTAACATAATGCTTACAACACTTTGTACAATTAATTAGCCGAGCTGAAAGAAATGCATGCTACGACATACAGTCGAATGTTTCTCGAATTGTTGGTCCGCAGGTACCTTTATTCTTAGAGCATCCTGACTAAATTTTTCAGTTTGCTTTCATGAAATTGCCAGGCTTAGTTTCTGCCTCTTCTGACACTGTATAATTTGAATTCCTATTTGTAATATTTACTATTCCTGGAAAAAAAAAAAAAAAAAAAAAAATTCATGTTCTTCATGTTGTTTATTTTTTTAAAATTACTATTAAGGAAATATTTGAAATAAGCGAAGGTTTATTTTAAAAAGTGATAGCTAACTTCAGTTTTGTTGGAGCTTAGCTCTAGGTTTGGGCATCCCCTATGCATGTAGAATCGAAACCATGGAAGTAAGAACTAAATGGAATATACATCAAATTATACAGTGTCAGAAGAGGCAGAAACTAATCCTTCCCATCCTTAACCCATATGCAAACGTACGGTACGTCATCAGTTTTTCATCCATTTCTTCATCACAATGACGTGCTTTGGGAGTGTTGGATACCTCTAAAATAATTTTTGTGCTTTTTATTTTTAGTATTTTGATTAACTTTGATTATTTGTATTTTTATGTTGTCCTATTATTGGATGATTTTAACATCCAGTGACAGAACATCGAAATATTAAAAACCGACCTTTTAATCTTCCAGCTCTAAAACATTTTCATATGCAAAGTAAATTATATTTTACTTTCCATTCGCATTACATTTGTCCAATATACAATAGTCAAAACATCTGTCTGTTCAAAATAGAAGAGAACATAAAATTATCAAAGTAAAAACCTTGTGTCTGACGTAGATTTAGTCAAGAACTCAATCGATTTCGAGAGCAGACAGGTTCAGAAACCTCTTTATAACGAGCAAAAAAGTCTGTAACACTGGAAAGCAAACGGTTGATCTTTGACCGTGAAACGGTTTTTTTAACCTGAATTTGGAAGATTCAGGTTAAAAAAACCAAACGCAAAGTGTCGCCGTAAAAGGCGCAAACATTAGACTGTATGGCAAATTACTGTGGCTACCATAGCATTTTACTTTTTAATAACATCGCAGAAGTAGACGCTAACCTGAGCTGGCGCTAAATGTTTTCCGACAAGCAGATATGATATTTACTGTGGTGCCAACTAGTGACTGCAGGAAACATGAAATGGAGCGATGCACAAATCTTTGAAGTCTTTGATGTACATAGCAACGGGGCAATGGAATCAGAATACAAATGATGTGCTTATATGCTAAAAAAGAGCTACGAAAATTACTCAAGTATATACAAGAGCAGTCACAATGCAGATTAATATGCAGTGTTGTGAAGAATTGTGCGTGGTCGTATAAAGTTACTTTCAATAGTAGGAGCGTAGTCAGCTAACTAAAAATTATGGGCATAACTAGAGTTGATAATTTTGAGGAGTTAGACTGCAAGAATATCTGTGATGAGAATTTAAATCTGGGAAATGCGTTTAGCCAACACGAGCGTTGTAGTTTATATATTGATTTTTTGAAGTTTAAGGCGTGCCACATGGGGACGCGGGAATAAATCGCTTGCTTTACAGATTTCCCCTCTCTCGTTCTTAAGGTACAATACGACTCCTTTGATTTCCTGAATTACATAGGGGCCTTCAAATTTTGGAGCTAACTTTGCCAGTAAAATTGTCTGGGGCACTTGATAAAGAAAATTTCCGCTTCAATACTTTATCCCCAACTTTAAAATCTGCTTCACGGCGTTTTTTCTATCATAGTATATTTTTGCCTATTTCTTGCCGTATCCGAGCTTTTAAGCGCCTGATCAATAAGTTTTGCACATCTTTTTGTTTAAATTCTTGCTCTCTTTGTTGCACAAAGAATAATTTATCTAAAGGCGTAATTAACTTTCCGTCCTAAAAATAATTCTGCTGGAGTTTTTCCCGTAGTATCATGATTTGCCGTTCTTAAAGCATAAGCTAATTCATTTATGTAGCCATCCCAGCGCTTGTGATGTGTGCTAACGTAACTGCGAATTATTTTTACAATGTTTTTATTAACTCTTTCTGCTATGTTTGCCTGTGGTCTATACGGAACCATTTTGATATGGCGTATGCCAAGTCCATTGCATATGTTTTCAAATATTTGGCTAATGAATTGTTTTACCGTTATCGCTAATGACTTTTATCGGTGCACCGTATTTTTAAAATGTATCTGTGTAAGAATGCATCTGCGACTGTTTTGGCTGACGCGCGTTTAAGTGGAACAATTTCTATCCATTTTGAAAAATGATCTACTATTACTAAAAGAAAACGATTTTTTATTTAACTCGCTCTGGGGGAAGGGACCAAGAAGATCTATGCCTAAAATTTCATTCGGAAATGTAGCGCGAATGCTATTTAAGTACCCGGCCGGGCTGTAATTAATATCATTTATTAACTGACATTGATTGCAGGACCTGACATACGCCGTTACTATTTTGTATAATTGCGGGAAATATACCGCCTCGCGTACCCTTTTTAAAGTCTTTCTGACCCCTAAGGTGGCCCGCTGTTTTTTCGCGTCGTGCAATTCCTTCAAAATGCTTAATCGAAGCGAGGCTGGGATGACTGGTTTATACTCAAGATTTTCGTTTGTTGTTTTCGTATAAAATAATAAATTATCTATTATTTCATAGTTTTCTGCTCTATTTCTTATCGCATCGATATCTGTGTGCTCAAAGCTTTCGGGGTCTTTCAAATAACGCATAGATACTTCCAAATTCAGGATCAGCTTTCAATTCAGCAATAATTGTATCTCTAGAATCTAAAATTTTTGAAGTCAACACAGCGCATTTAAGTTCATTGCCTTCATCGTCCAGTTTTATACGAGAAAGTGCGTCAGCTACATTGTTTTCCTTACCCGGTTTATATTTATTATGAGATTATATTCTTGGAGTTTTAAAGCCCATCTTATTAACCTGGGCGTTAGGTTTTTCCCCGAGTAAAGTCTACCAACAGCCGCATGATCCGAAAAGACTGTTACTGGCGCTTTGCCGAAATAAACTCGAAATTTGTGTACAGCCATTAATACGGCTAATGTTTCTCTCTCTGTAGCTGTATAATTCCTTTGTGTCTGATTCAACGTTTTACTAAAAAATGCCAAAGGATGGCCATTTTGCATAAGAACCGCACCCACCGCATAGTCCGACGCATCTGCTGCAATTTCCAGGTTTTCGTCCCCCTCCGGGAATTTCAAAACAGGGGCATTGATATGAGCGCTTCTTTTAACCTTTCAAAATGCGGTATTTGCTTCTGCTGTCCACGTAAATTTACTTTTCTTTCTTTTAATTACTAACAAGT